CAAAAGATGAAAACAACAACGGAGAGGAAAGAACAAAGAGAGTGAGAGAGCGAGAGAGAGAGAGAGGGAGGAAAAATATATTGAAAGACAACGGAACAAAACAAACATGTTCACACAAAGAGCCGTTTACACAAGAAATCTGTCACACAACAAGGACCCCTTTACGCAACAAAGACCTTTTTGGAAAAAGACACCTGTACAGCCTTTACACAAGAAACACCCACAACCAAGACATTTTACATAAAGACCCCGTTGCACACTGCTTCTGTTTGCCCTCTTCAGCAATGGGATCACCCCACTGAGGTGGGTATGGTTCAAAATTCAAGACCCTGGAGACCAAAGATGCTGGTCATCTTTCGCATGTCCGAGTATCCATCGTAGTTTTTAGGGATCCAATCATGTTAGATATGAGAAATCAGACTTGCCATGGAGGCAATCTCCCAGTTGAAGATGTTCAACCCATTGCCTCTGGTATGTTGATGTTCAGCAAGCTGCACAGATTCTGCGCAGCAGAGCCATCCAACACCACCATGATCCGTTGAAGCCTGGCGGACTGGTGGATAATCCCAATTCTTATTGGTTGATATCCGCATCTACCATCTGATTATTTGACATAGCGATGGAAAATCACCATTTTTAATAGGTAAACCATCTATTTCTATGGGCCATCTATACCATGGCTATGTTAAATAACCAGAGGGTATCACCACTTGAGAATTCTGTCCTGGCCTCCACTCCTGCAACTCCTCGTTGTCCCCCAGAGACAAGAAATTGGCTCGCGAGTCCACCTTCAACGTCTTCCTCGGTACCAAAGACAGGTCATGTTGGTCATGTTGGTCATGTTGGTCATGTTGGTCATGTTGGTCATGTTGGTCATGTTGGTCATGTTGGTCATGTCACAAACTTGGCAAAGAAAAACCGCAAAAACAAACCATGGTCCTAGAGAAAAGAAACTCAGAAACTCAGAAATCATCTACACTAAGGGATTTTGGACTGATGATGAGGTAAGTCATTTCCTACCACATGGAGAACATGGCCTTCAATCAAGTTGAGTTTTGGCGTCTTTCGAGTGTTGTGCATCCGTTGCATTATTCCCAAACTAAAAAACCTTCCAAGTTCCAAGGATTTCTTGACTTCACATTGAATGGAGGCACTGTACTTACTGTGCCATACAAGGTCATATTTTGGAGCGTGTTCCCCCCACAAAAGGCTCACAATTCCTTAAGTACATAGAACTTTCACGTGGGTACTTCCAACGGGTTTGTCTCAAAATGCGGTATCCCCAAACGCCAATCGATTAAAACCTCATTTTCCCTTTTGAAATGGCCACAACTGGGGGCATACCCCAATACCCAAATTTCAGACACATGGTGATCCGGCTCTGTCCAATAAGATCCACCCAGAGTCTGCATCCAAACTCCGTGCTTGGAGACCCAAGCCGACACTGACAGACCTAGACGGAAACTCTCTTTAAAAGAATGTCCCAAGAAGTTTCAAAACACAACAGAAACTCTGGGATCCATGGATTACAGCAGCCAAATCTAGGGGATATCACTTGCTGAAAATGATATTTCCTGTTGAATTTTGTCTGTGTCCGGGCACAAGACAAAAGAAGGGATCTGGATGTGGCACAATCTCCAAAGTTGTCGGTTATTGGGGATGAAATATTGTGGAAATGGACACGTTGCAGCGGACGTCAACACCTCACCCTGCGGGACCCAGAAATATTGGAATTCCTGTTGTCATAACCCTCCCAAATCTGCAGCCATGGAAACTTGAAGACTGAACTTGGTTTTACCCGAAGGAAACATCCTCGACGTTCTTGATCCCCAGCAAAAAATGTCGTTCGTTAAATGGCATATGGGTTGGTCTGCAAGCAGGATGCACCAAAATCCATTGTTTACCATCATGTTCCCCACTATTGATAGCAATTTGAGGGGTGCACCCCAAAATCACAAACCCATATAACATATGTTTCCTCATTCTACCCGCATGTCTAGATGATTTTCCCGATATCTATACATCTACCCTATCTATCCTACCTATCCATCTTTTCCACATATCTATCCTATCTATCCTATCTATCCTATCTATGCTATCTATCCTTTCCATCCTATCCTATCTATCCTACCTATCTATCCTATCTATGCTATCTATCCTTTCCATCCTATCCTATCTATCCTACCTATCTATCCTATCTATGCTATCTATCCTTTCCATCCTATCCTATCTATCCTACCTATCCATCTTTTCTACCTATCTATCCTATCTATCCTATCTATCCTATCTATCCTATCTATCCTATCTATCCTACCTATCTATCCTATCTATGCTATCTATCCTTTCCATCCTATCCTATCTATCCTACCTATCCATCTTTTCTACCTATCTATCCTATCTATCCTATCTATCCTATCTATCCTATCTATCCTATCTATCCTATCTATCCTATCCTATCCTATCTATCCTATCTATCCTATAAATCCTATCTATACTCTATCCATCGTATGTATCCTATCTATGCTATCTATCCTTTCCATCCTATTCCTATCTATGCTACCTACCCATCTTTGCTAACTATCTATCCTATCGATCCTATCTACCCTATCTATCCTATCTATCCTATCTATCCTATCTATCCTATCTATCCTATCTATTCTCTATCCAACCTATCTATCCTATCTATGCTATCTATCATTTTCATCCTATCCTATCTATCTTACCTATCCATCTTTTCTACCTATCTATCCTATCTATCCTATCTTTCCTATCTATCCTATCTTTCTTATCCATCCTATCTATCCTATCTGTCCTATCTATCCTATCTGTCCTATCTGTCCTATCTATCCTATCTATCCCATCTTTCCATTCTATCGTACCTATTCTATCTATCCTATCTTTGCTATCTATCCTTTCTATCCTATCTATCCTATTCATCCGATCTATCCTATCTGTCCTATCTGTCCTATCTATCCTGCCTACCCCATCTGTCCTATCTGTCCTGACTTTCCTATCCTATCTATCCTATCCGTCCTATCTATCCTATCTATCCTACCATCCTTTCTATCCATGGTATCTATCCCATCTAGCCCATCTATCCTATCTATCCTATGTATCCTATCTATCTATGGTGAAATACCCCTCATGGCTTCCGTGTCCCCATGGCTACAGTGCGCAGCGCCGCAGCAGCACCTTGCTTCAGTGGTGCCACCAGCTCCCGCGCGCGCGGTAAGCCCAAGGCTTCCTGGTGGCATCGTGGCGGCCCTGGGGGATGCTACACTTTGGGGGACCTGGCAAACCTGGCAAACCTGGCATGCATGTATGTATGTACGTACGTACGTATGTATGTATGTATGTACGTACGTATGTATGTATGTATGTATGTGTATATTTCTGTGTATTTATTGATGTATATATATATATAATGTATATATATATGTGTGTGTATACTGTATATATATATGTGTGTGTACCTAGTGGTAAATAACAAAAGTGACAAAAGCCAGACGTCAAACACTACATTTGGCGAAAAAATACAAGCAGAACTGAGATGAAGTGCAGGTATACCAAAATCTTGCCCCAGTTCTCCCTGGTGATAGATCGGCGAGAAAAAGCCATAGTATGACCCCAGAAAATTCCAACATGATTCAATCATGATAGTATGTGGCTACCTTTACCTCAAATACTGTACCAGAGGAACTGAAAGTAGCTGGTTGTTTTTCGAATAAAACCATCCAATTCTGCCGGGCATTAGCCATACCTCCAACCCTCAGGTAGCCTACAGGTGGCCGCCTGGTAGTGCTGAATAGATAAACATATGTCCAAGTTTGTTGCTCAATGTCTCATAATTTGTTGGTTACATTCCCACGTCTTTCTCTTACCACACGAACTTTTCGCGCTAAAAAACGGTTTCGCCCACACCCTTCTTGTCTTGGAAAGATCACCAAAGGTATTAAGGAACATAAAAGTCCCACCCCCGTTAAACTTTACATTTATTGAAGATCTTCAGTAAGGGTTTAATTCTCCCAGCCCAGTTAAACTTCTACATTCATTGAAGATCTTCAATAAGGGTTTAATTCTCCCACCCCAGTTAAACTTCTACATTCATTGAAGATCTTCAATAAGGGTTTAATTCTCCCACCCGGTAAACTTCTACATTCATTGAAGATCTTCAATAAGGGTTTAATTCTCCCGCCCGGTAATCTTCTACATTCATTGAAGATCTTCAAAAAGGGCTTAATTCTCCCACCAGTTAAACTTCTACATTCATTGAAGATCTTCAATAAGGGTTTAATTCTCCCACCCCAGTTAAACTTCTACATTCATTGAAGATCTTCAATAAGGGTTTAATTCTCCCACCCGGTAAACTTCTACATTCATTGAAGATCTTCAATAAAGGTTTAATTCTCCCGCCCGGTAATCTTCTACATTCATTGAAGATCTTCAAAAAGGGCTTAATTCTCCCACCAGTTAAACTTCTACATTCATTGAAGATCTTCAAAAAGGGCTTAATTCTCCCACCCCCGGTAAACTCCTAGATTCATTGCAGATCTTCATTGATGATGATGATGATGATGATGATGACGATGACGATGTGGTTTGAACCCGCACAGGTCCTTATGCTGCGCGCTCTGATCTAGAACATCAAGTCAACCATAATGCTGAAATATCCCATTTTTACCACGTTTTCAGCTCATACGAAGAAGGCGGGCCAACAGGCGCGGGCAAGACAAGGTGTTTGGCCGTAACTTTTGTTGGTAAAATCCTGTGTTTGCAAATTGAATCCTTACTCCTTTGGATTAAAGCCTCATTCCTTGTCTATGAAATCCTGTTTTTTGGCTTCAAGCCAGGCCTTTTTCGGGTCAAATAATTCAAATATATGTGAAAAAACAAATTTCTTCGAGTGGCCCCCACCCACTCCTCGGCTTCCCGCAGACTCAGGCGCTGAGGGGGTGGAGGCTGCTTCTCGTGGAGGAATTGCCTGATGCTCGCGGGGCGGACGCAACACAAATACGGATTCTACCAACAAAAACAAGAAGTAAGCACAATGTGAATCTGCTGGCAGCAAAAAAAAATGTTGTTTATTGAAAAGACAAACAGGTTGATTTGTTTAGCCACAGGAAGGGGTATTTAATCATTAAAATGCATATTTTTCAAACACGAAAAATGGGGATTACCCCACAACAAGGACAATGAGACCGCCGCAGAAATTGAGTTTCAAACGTGGACCTGAGAAAAGGGGATCAACATGATTCAGCCAACAGAAAACAGAATTGATTGAAAACAACACTTATAGTAGCATTACAACCAACAGCATGGGGTCCTGCCACCCTTGAGGTGCAAGGTCGGCCGAAAGTTTTCCAAGTTGATCCGTCCAATTGAATTTTGGGAAACGCTTAATTGATAGAAGGCATGATATCCCCCCAGTATAACTGGTTGTATCCTTTTTGTATCTTTTTGTGGTCTATCTTCATTCCAGTTGATTAAAACAAAGCTGCCTTTGCGACGTCCTAGATTAAAAATGCAGTGGATGGGCTCTTTTCTTTGAGAAAACCCATGGTCAACAGCATCCGTCCAAATACTCAATGATTGTTTCCGAAATATGCCTGCCTTCGTTGATAAAATATGATGAGAAATCATCCCATCACTCAGAGGTTTGTTGTTAAAGCAGAGCAGGGGGACTTAAGAGGTTGCCATGTTTTGCACAAATTCACTTGGTTCAATGCTCCCATCAACAGGAACGATGGGCAAAAATATGCAACAAGAATTTCTCTTGCTGGATCATGATACACCAACATAAATTAAGGTGATTTTAGGTTTCTTGACCAAATTCAAACTGTTAGTAACATGGTGACTTCCTGCTCCAGTCCCCATGTTTGTAGGTAAAGTCAGCTCATTGGTGGTTTCAATCTGCCCTGAAAAATGTCAGTCATTGAGGATCATCATCCAATTTGTTAGGCAAAGGCAAAGGCAAAAAATGAAACTGCCAACCAATGTAACCCGTCCCAACCATTTGCTCAAAATGTTTGGCTCAACCGTCAGCCATTCACGAAGTATCTGGGGAAAATGGTTCATCATTCCGGAAACAGAAAAGTTGGCCCACTTTGGGACTTGCTCTTATTTTTCGCATCCATTACTTGCTCATTTTGAATTCCGGACCCTCAAGAGTCGGCCCAGTGAAGTTTTTTCTGAAAGCTATCTTCAACACCAATTCTGGTTCTAAATCATCATATTTTCCCCGTTTAAAAATACATTAACCCAGCTTTGCAACCCAACAGCATACCTGAATCTTCCACCTACGTCTTTTTTCAGACCCTGTGCCAAAATCCTGTTTTTTCAGTACCCAGAAAACTTTTCAGGACCTACTCTCAAATTCAGGACCTGGCCATTTTGGGGTATCAATGGTAATGGCAATCATTGGGTGCAAACATGTGAAACCAACATTTGGGGGATATTCAAGCCTTTGGCATTGATCCACGCAGATAAAAGCACTCCCAGCCCAAACTCATGGCAAGGCAGGATCAGAATATAGTATATTCCAGAAAGTATGTCAGAATAGATGCCAGATAGGATGCCAGAAAGAATGTCAAATAGAATCTCAGAAAATAATGTAAGATAGTATGTCAGAACATATGTGCCACATATACGTCCAGATGATATGTTAGAAACTATGTCAGAATAGTGTGTCAGGGTGGGGATCACTCTTAGTAAGGCAATTTTGAAAATATATTTCAGGTTCGGAATTTTCAAACTGTTGTCCTTCAGGCGCCGAAGCTCCCGTTGAAGGTCAGCATCGCCCCATGTCAACTGGTCCAGTCCCACTTCCATTTCAACAAGTCCAACTTCATCGATTAGGGTGTTGGTTGAATGGACTGTGAGGGTTTCACCCCCAAAGAACAAAAAACTAGTCAACACCGGGGTGTCTTTTATTGGGGTCCGTCCTTTAAAATCGTCAATTTTAGTTTTTTTAATTCAGGTGTTGGTGTTTTATTTGATACTAGGCGAAAGCTTCGAAATCCTATTCTTGGCAGTATTCTATTTAAAGATTATTTTCATGGATTTTGAAATTAGAAACAAAAAACGGTTTAATCCCTTCCCCCTGTTGCTAAACAGTCGCCCCTTCACCCACCCACCCAAATAACAAACACCTGGAGGAGTTTTTAGTATTGGGGGGTCTTTAGTATTAGGGTACGAAGCTTCCCCCTAATACTGATAAAAAAAACACACACACACACACACGCATATATATATACACATATTTCTATTTCAAAATCGATCAGATTTCTTTCTTTTTAAATCCAATTAAAATATGGCAAACAAGTGGATTCCGAAGCTTAATATCAAATAAAAACCCCCAACATAAAAAACTATGTATGTTTTTCTATTTCGAAATCGATTAGATTTCCTTTTAAAAATTTAAATAAAATATGGCCAAAAAATTGGATGCCGAAGCTTTTCCCTTATATTAAACCCTAATATCATTTTGTTTTTTCCCTGTTTCAAAATCGATTAGATTTCCTTTTGAAATCTAATGAAAAAAACAAAAAAAATGATTTTGAAGCTTTCCCCTAATATCAAATTAAAATCCAATTATTAAAATATGTTCAAAAATTGGATTTCGATGCTTCCCCTAATCTTGCATGAAAAATTCCAATATAAAAAACTAAATTTGTTCTATTTCAGAATCGATTAGATTTCCTTGTAAATTCAAATTAAGATATTGCCAGAAATTGGATTTCGAAGCTTTCCCCTAATATTAAACCCTCATATCAAAGACTATTTTTTCTATATCAAAATTCATTAGATTTCCTTTTGAAATCTAATTAGAATATGGTCACAAATTGGATTTTGAAGTTTTCACCTAATATTACATTAAAAACCCCTAATATAAAATATTATTTTTTCTTTTTTGAAATCGATTCGATTTCCTTTTAAATTGTAGTAACAAAAATAAAAACAAAAACCGGATTTCGAAATGTTTCCTCTAATATTAAATTACCAGCCCTAATATATTTTTAAAAAAAACTGTTTCAAAATCGATTAGTTTTCTGTTTAACATATAATTAAGATATTGCTAAAAATTGGATTTCGAAGTTTTCCCCTAAGATTAAATTAAAAACACTAATTTCAAAAAAAAAGACTATGTTTTTTCGATTTCAAGAATCGATTAGATTTCCTTTTGACATCCAGCAAAAATATTGCCAGGCAATGCCAAAAAGTGGATTTCGAAGTTTTCCCCCAATATTATATAAACGTTGTAATATAAAATACTTATTTTTTCGACCTTAAAAGACCCTAGTTTAAAAAATCACCAGGGCTGACTAGTTTTTATTTTTTGGTGGTGAAATCCTGAAATGGGACCTTCATGTTTAATTTGTTTTTGAAAAGGTATCAATTAAAAGTCAAACTGGCCAGCCTGAAATTTCCCAAAATTTAACGCGGACCCTAGTAAAAGGAATCAATGTAATATTTTAGTATTTAGGGTACGTTTAGTAAAAGGAGGTGGGGATTAGTAAGGTTTTCAATTTAATATAAGGGGAAGCTTCGAAATCCAAGTTGGCAAGATTTGAGTTAGATTTTGAATAGGAATTCAATCGGTTTTGAAATATAAAGTTCATTTTTTTAAACGAATGTTTTCAATTTAATGTCAGGGGGAAGCTTCGGATCCAATTTTGGCAATATTTTAGTTAGATGTTATTTTAAAAATGTTTTCCAATTTAGTTTTTTTTAACCAAGGGGGAAGTTTCGCACCCTCATACTAAATACCCACTAAATACAAAAAACTATTCCGTGTGTTCATTATTGGGTGGGGGGGGCAGACGGTTTATTATGACGCAGGGATTGGTCAGGCATCACTTGCCGGAATTATTGGATTCTTTTGGGATGATTGGTATGATGTTTAGTCAGGCATGGTTCCCTTCAGTCATGCACGATTTTTGCAAAAATCCTATTTAGGCACGACCCCAAAATCCCAGCCCGGCAAATTCCGGCCCGGGCCCTGCAAATTCCGGCCCGCGCCCTGCAAATTCCGGCCCTGCGTTTTTCCAAAATCAGGCAAAACCAGTAAATCAGGTATTAAGTCAGGTGTAGTTACCTTTTAAGTCATTAAGGCTAGTCAGGCATGGTTCCAGTGGGTACCTTTTAATTGTGAAGGCTAGTCAGGCATGGTTCCCTGAATTCAGGGGCATTGGTACCTTTTAATTATGAAGGCTAGTCAGGCATGGGTTCTGTTAAGTCAGGCGTGGGTGGGTACCTCTTAATTATGAAGGCTAGTCAGACATGGTTCCCTTAAGTCGGGTGTGGTTACGCTTTAAGTCATGAAGGCTAGTCAGGCATGGGTACCTTTTAAGTGATGAAATCTGAATCAGGCGGAGCTCCTATTCTAAATGTGTTAAATCCAATTGTTCAGTGTGGAAAATCGATTTTTTTTGGCTGGTCTACGGGCAAACCCTGTGTCTTCCAATACCATAGCGTGCTGATGTCGCTTGCCTGCATAATAGTTAAGGCCAAAGCTTAGGTCATCAGTGTGATCCTGAAATGCCGCCACGACCAAGAAGATGACATGTGTAAAATGGGCCCTGGATTAACAAAGGCTGACTAATGAATTTGGAGGATGCCACTAAAGTATGACATGTAATCACTTTTGAGGAGCACTCTATGGCACGCAGCGCGCGCAGCCTGCTTTACGGTTTAGCGTTTGAAAGTTTTAGGCTTTGCCTCTATGGCACGCAGCGTTTGAAAGTTTAACTAAGTTTAACCGTTTACCTCTATGGCAGGCTGTGCGCGCAGTACGCGTTACGGTTTAAAGTTTGAAAGTTTTAGGGTTTATGTGTGTGGCACGCAGTGCGCGCAGCGCGCATTAGGGTTTAGGGTTTGGAAGTTTTATAGTTCATTTTATTGCATGCAGCGTGCACGGTTGCAGGGTTCCAAGGTTCCAGGGTTCCAAGGTTGCAGGGTTCCAGAATCCTTGAGGGTTCCAGGGTGCCAAGGTTCCAAGGTTTCAGGGTTCCACGGTCGCAGGGTTCCAAGGTTCCAGGATTTCAGGGTTCCAGGGTTCCGGGGTTCCAGGGTTCCAGGGTTCCAGGGTTCCGGGGTTCCAAGGTTTCAGGGTTCCAGGGTTCCAGGGTACCAGGGTACCAGGGTCCCACGGTTTCAGGGTTCCAAGGTTTCCAGGGTTTCCAGGGTTCCAAGGGTTCCAAGGGTTCCAAGGGTTCCAATGGTTCCAGGGTTTCAGGGTTCCAGGATCCCAGCAGGGTGCCAGGTGTGCAGGGTTGCGGGGTTCCAAGGTTCCAGGGTTCCAAGGTTGCAGGGTTCCAGAATCCTTGAGGGTTCCAGGGTGCCAAGGTTCCAAGGTTTCAGGGTTCCAGAATCCTTGAGGGTTCCAGGGTGCCAAGGTTCCAAGGTTTCAGGGTTCCACGGTCGCAGGGTTCCAAGGTTCCAGGGTTTCAGGGTTCCAGGGTTCCGGGGTTCCAGGGTTCCAGGGTTCCAGGGTCCAGGGTCCAGGATCCCAGCAGGGTTCCAGGTGTGCAGGGTTGCAGGGTTCCAAGGTTCCAGGGTTCCAGGGTTGCAGGGTTCCAGAATCCTTGAGGGTTCCAGGGTGCCAAGGTTCCAAGGTTTCAGGGTTCCACGGTCGCAGGGTTCCAAGGTTCCAGGGTTTCAGGGTTCCAGAATCCTTGAGGGTTCCAGGGTCCAGGGTTCCAGGGTTCCGGGTTCCAAGGTTTCAGGGTTCCAAGGTCCAGGGTACCAGGGTCCCACGGTTTCAGGGTTCCAAGGTTTCCTCCAAGGGTTCCAAGGGTTCCACTTTTCAGGGTCCCAGCAGGGTGCCAGCAGGGTGCCAGGTGTGCAGGGTTGCAGGGTTCCAAGGTTCCAAGGTTCCAGGGTTCCAAGGTTGCAGGGTTCCAGAATCCTTGAGGGTTCCAGGGTGCCAAGGTTCCAAGGTTTCAGGGTTCCACGGTCGCAGGGTTCCAAGGTTCCAGGGTTTCAGGGTTCCAGGGTTCCGGGGTTCCAGGGTTCCAGGGTTCTGGGGTTCCAAGGTTTCAGGGTTCCAGGGTTCCAGGCAGGGTTTCAGGGTTCCAGGATCCCAGCAGGGTTCCAAGTGTGCAGGGTTGCAGGCTTCCAAGGTTCCAGGGTTCCAAGGTTGCAGGGTTCCAGAATCCTTGAGGGTTCCAGGGCGCCAAGGTTCCAAGGTTTCAGGGTTCCACGGTCGCAGGGTTCCAAGGTTCCAGGGTTTCAGGGTTCCAGGGTTCCGGGGTTCCAGGGTTCCGGGGTTCCAAGGTTTCAGGGTTCCAGGGTTCCAGGGTTCCAGGGTTCCAGGGTTCCAAGGTTCCAAGGTTCCAGGTTTTCCAGGATTCCAGATTTTCCAGGATTCCAAGGTTCCAGGGTTCCAGGGTTCCAGGGTTCCCCAGGGTTCCCCAGGGTTCCCCAGGGTTCCCCAGGGTTCCCCAGGGTTCCCCAGGGTTCCAAGGTTCCAGGGTTCCAGGGTTCCAGGGTTCCATTCCGGATTTTGAAGGCTGCAAGTCCCCGCGAGCCAGCCCCAGCCCTAGAGATTGAAACCCAACAGGCCCTGCTGTTGGGAATAAATAAATAAAATGGTCATTGTTGAAAAAAGCCAAAGATATTTCTCCAAGGCACATGGGTCGGCCGGATTCCACCGCCTCCGAAAAAAAGGTGCCGTCGGTTTCCTCGGAGAAGACGAGGAAAATTGGTGGGTCCCTGTAGATATCTGTAGATAAGGATAGATAAGGATGGATAAGATCTGATATGATCCAAAGGTCTCGAAGATCCATTGAAGATCTTGGGGATCTTGAACTTGAACCATGATGTCTTGTATTTTTGAAGAGCAAGTCTGTGTGCCATAAACCCAGCTTTGCAATCCAACAGCAGTAGGGGTTCCAGCGTTCCTGGGTTTCAGGGTGCTGTCTCGGCAAAAAAACAACGCACCAGCCCCAGAGCCAGGGATTGAAACCCAACAGTGACTGCTGTTGTTGCTGGTTGCATCCCTATTTTGGTCCCAGGATCACTTAGGCCGACATTTTGGATCACTTAGGCCGACAATCTTGGATGTGGATTCACACCTTTAGGGCTTATCTTGAGGGGTGGGACTGGGGACAGGGGACAGTGGGGACAACTAGAGGTACAGGAGACGAACTAAGGCATATTAGGATGCATTGGGTACACACCTTTGGGGTTTATCTTTAGGGCCTGGGACAGACTGAATCAGAATCATGAGCGCAGAATGTATCTCAGGTATATAACTGAATCAGAACTAAGTCCTGAATGTCCTGATGAGCATCTCTAATCCACTTGTGCAAGTCTGTCGAAAACATGATCTGATATATGAATATATCATATCCTTCCACTGAATTACGGCAAATGTCATGATGTATCTGTGGCGTAGGCCTAAGCCCTAAGCGAGCCAAAACGTAGGCCTAAGCGAGGTAGTGACCCCCATGTTTGGCTCTATAGCTCTGATAATTCAATCCCTGTAAACATGGCCACCCTGCACAACGTTCGACAGCCCAAGATGCTGTCACATGCAAGGTGTAGCTCGTATTCCAAGCCATTCCATCCCACACGATCCAGCCACGCGCGTTGGTGGGGCACTCCACATCATCCTGTGCCAGGCCGCCCCTTTTGGACCTCTTTAGAAGTTCTGATTCTTTGATCGTTGATAGAAAAAAACAACCATGAAGTGTTTGGTTCTTTGGGGGTCCCAAATGGATCCTGGACTTTGGGTGAAAACTCAGGGTATCAAGATATGCAATTGTTTGGTGGGCTCTAGGTACCCCAATTTGTGGAACACATCCGAACATCTCCAGACCACCATGGTGATAATCCTGTTCCTGTGCCTTCCACATTCTTCCTCCCTCCCACATCGTTCATGAAGAATCATTAGAATCCCTTTGCTTCAAGTTCAATGTCCCGTCTTCCAGAGCACAACGTTATATGCCCAGTAAAAAGCTTGAAAAAATGCCCCGGATTTATAAACCCATGTTTCGAACAAAATCTCATGATTGATCATCATATTTCCCATTCAAGTCAGCTAAGATCCCCATGAAATGGCAACTTTTCCTATTCAAATCCTCCAGAATCACAACATCGCCATAAAATTGCTAGTCTTCCTGTTTTCCTGTGACATTTATTTAAAGTTCCTCATGAAACGGCGAGTTCTCATCAACATTCCCCCTAGATGGCTCCTTGGCATAGGCTCGGCCCATCCACACGTCACTCTCGTGGACCCCGCCCTCGGACAGCAGCCAGAGACCCCAGGAGGCGCGATAGTAGAGCCTGCGCAGGACGGAATCATGCCATGTCATTCATATTCATATTCATATTCATCATCATCATCATCATCATCATCGAATCATCATCATCTTCTTCTTCATCATCATCATGATGATTATTGCCTTATTGGTAAGGATTGGTAAGGAATAATCACTATTGTTATTGCTACATGACAACTACTACCATTTTAATCATGGTTATTGTTATTGTTGTATTGTTGTCATTCCTGTCAGCCAAGATTTGCAGATCATAATCATGAGGAGATTCTAGCCAGTCATAATTTAATAATACTTAGTAGAGAGTCGTACTGATACTACAAATCATTTTTGTGACCCCGCCACTTCCCCACTGAGTTGATTTTCCCAAGAAACAACTTGACTCAAAAATGGACTGATCAAAACCCTCAGGTGAAAAAGGGAAACCTAAAAAAAAAAAACGCTACTCAGAAACAAACTAAAAAGAACTAACTCAAAAATACAGCAAAACGTAACGAAAGGCAGCAAAATGGAGGAAAATGGATCAAACACTGTTTCATTTCCATCTCCGCCAGCTCCTGTCAACTTCCAGTGACTGAGTTGTTTGAGTCTCTTTTTGTCTGTTTTGAATCCTTTTTTGTGACCCATACCTAAAAACCTCACATTGCGTGGAGCTATGGGGTCATTGCAGGACATCTGTAGCAAAGAAATTGACCAACAAGAATGGTGATTTTATCAAATTTTATCCAGCAAAAATGGGAGCATTCACGTGTTTAAATCGAAATGGGTTACAAAATGTTGCATGCAGTGCCAGCCTGAAAAATGGATTGATTGCACCGACGAAACCGAGGTTGTCAACCCTTTGTCTTGGAGGCTGTACCCACAATACTCAAGGATATTGATTGACCCAAATGTAGATGTCACTGCCAAATCAAGATGAAACCTGCATTTGCTTTGAAACTTACCCAAGAAAACAGAGGTTTAACCGTTTAACCAACAGTAGGGATGTCACAACAATGGGGATGGCTCCCTAGGACCCCAGATGAACGCAGCTGGGCCGCTGCTTTCCATTGACGTTTTGGTAGATGGGGCGGTACCTTGGAAAAGTGGAGCCAGGCGGCCTGATCACAATCCCAGTGGGTATCCTATGTATCCTTTCCAAACATGGCCAGTAGCTTTAGTACGTCCCACTGCTAGCTGCTATCTGGAGTAGGCTCTTGAGTAGACTCTCCAACTGGATTAAGGTGACTCGCTCGAAGGCTTCAACACACTTTCTCGGCTCCCAAGCGCTTGTAACGCTGTGGGTTCCAGGTTGGATTTGAAAAAGGTACCTGGGCAAAGCAAACGAATGTCCGACAAATCACCCCAAAAATCGCAAGATTGCTCCTACAAAACAATCTGTTTGTTTCTTCTTTGGGTCTAGTGGGTCGTGGGTCCGAATCGTGACTGATGCCAACGTGGCCGAAAGTTCAGCAACCCAATGACCAGCCCAATATGTGGGTCATAGTTTTCACCAGCTGTAGCCACTCCTTGAAACCAATCCCTTTCACCCTGCCTTCTAAGCCCCCAGCCCATGTAGGGCAACAGCACCGCCTCTGCACCTGTCACCAGGACATAGTCCAACTGAGCCTCCTGGCCGTCCAGCTGCGACTTAGGGAAAACTGCGCAGACAGCAGGTCAGCGGCAAGTAATTTGCTTGTCCATAATTCTATCGAGCCCTGAAAAAGGCAACAGAAGCAGCAACAAAAGCTTAAGCATATTATCCTGGGACGCAACACAGAACAAAAAAAACGACCCGCTTTTCCCTGGTGGGTCACAATCTTGTTGATGTGATTTTTTCCACGCCAAAATGGTGGTTTCCTAATTCATGGGGGATCCCCGTTGTCGTCGTCACCTGCGCTTGGTCTCCGCCCATGACGCTCACAGTGCGTTCCAACACTTCAGAAGCCCAATTGGTCTCCTGGCTCCATGAAAGCCCCATGGAAGAATGAACAAAAAATGGTTGCTTAGGGGTTGTTAGTATATGTATGTATATGTCAATATCATAAATAAACCCAACGGATTGTTAATCTTCAGTACATATATAATCATAACATTGATTAACTACATAATTGCTGGTTAATGTGATAAACCCAATGTGGTAGACCGGTAGACCCATAAACCCCCTGGTTGTGGAATGTGGTAAATCCAATGCAAACCCAGTATAAACCCCCAAATCGTTGGCTAGTGTAGTAAACTGAATAGTGAACCCCCAAAGGGTGAATGGAATGCCTAAGGGAAGTTACCACTGAAACAACGAAATCTCTTCGTATCTGTTTGGCAAAGTGCTGTGACGCAAGATGGCACAAAAAACAAAGCTAGGAGCTGGGGGTCAAAAGTCGAGCAGAAAATTCCCGATTCTCCAGCAGGTTTCTCGGGGGGCCAACATGTGGTTCCTATACAACAAGTATCAACCAAACCCTATAGGCCCCGTAGGCAACAAATGATAACAAATGTGGCAAAGGCACTTCCACCTTGAATTCCCTGGAAATTAGACCCACTGCGGGACCCCAAAACAAACAGCTCCAGTAGCAACTCAGTCGAAGGGGCTGTGGGTTCTATTCCTGGACCAATGGGGTGGGCGCTTCGCTGAGAAATTTTCTGTTCAGCTCAGCGCTTCTTTCGAAGCAAATCACGCGCTGCTCACCAAGACCCCACAACACCTGAAACATTGAAGAGCCCTTGGCAGGGTCACCCGTACCAGGCTCCGATCAAAATTAGTGCCAAATATCAAGGTCTGAAGACAGCTTGGCAGGGTCACTCGTTCCAGGCTCTGGTTAAACGCACTGCCAAATGTTAAGGTCTGTAGACTGCCAGGGAGTCACTCGTTCCAGGCTTTGGTTAAACGCACTGCCAAATGTTAAGGTCTGAAGACTGCTTGGCAAGGTCACCTGTTCAAGGCTCTGATTGAAATCGTCACCACATGTCAAGCTTTCAAGACTGCTTGGTAGGGTCACTTGTTCCAGGCTTTGGTTGAAAAATATGCCGAATGTCAAAGTCTTAAGACTGCTTGGCAGGATCACTCGCTCAAGGCTCTGGTTAAACAAAGCGCCAAATGTCAGGGTCTCAAGACTATCTGGTAGACTCAGCCGTTCCAAGCTTTGGTTAAAACAATCACCAAACTTCAAGGTCTAAAGACCCCTTGGTAGGCTCACCAGTTCCAGGCTCTGGTCAAACTTGGTGCCAAATGTCAAGGTCCGAAGACTGCTCGGCAGCGTTACTTCTTCAAGGCTCTTCATCAATACACTCCCAAAAGTCAAGATCTGAAGACTGCTTGGCAGCGTCACTCGTTGCAGACTTTGGTTAAACCACACACCCAATGTCAAGGTCTGAAGACTGCTCGGCAGGGTCACTCTTTCCAGGCTCTGGTGAAAATCGTCGCCAAATGTCAAGGTCTGAAGACCACTTGGTAGGGTCACCCGTTCCAGGCTCTGGTCAAACTTAGTGCCAAATGTCAAGGTCTGAAGACTGCTCGGCAGGGTCACTCGTTCCAGGCTCTGGTTAAAATCGTCGCCAAATGTCAAGGTCTGAAGACCACTTGGTAGGGTCACCCGTTCCAGGCTATGGTCAAACTTAGTGCCAAATGTCAAGGTCTGAAGACCGCTTGGCAGGGTCACACCTTCAAGGCTCTGGTTAAATTCGTGGCCAAATGTCAAGGTCTGAAGACTGCTTGGCAGGGTCCCTGGTTCCAGGCTCTGGTTAAATACGTGTCCAAATGTCAAGGTCTGAACATGACTCGGCAGGGTCACTCGTTCCAGGCTCTGGTTAAATACGTGTCCAAATGTCAAGGTCTGAAGAGGGCTCGGCAGGGTCACTCTTTCCAGGCTCTGGTTAAAATTGTGTCCAAATGTCAAGGTCCGAAGACTGCTGGGCAGCGTCACTCTTTCCAAGCTTTGGCTAAACTTTGTGCCAAATGTCAAGGTCTGAAGACTGCTTGGCAGGGATACTCGTTCGAGGCTCTGGTTAAATTCATGGCCAAATGTCAAGGTCTGAAGACTGCTTGGCAGGGATACTCGTTCGAGGCTCTGGTTAAATTCGTGGCCAAATGTCAAGGTCTGAAGACTGCAAGGCAGAGTCAATGGTTCCAAGCTCTGATTAAATTGGTGGCCAAATGTCAAGGTCTGAAGAGTGTTGGTCAGGGCAATTCTGATTAGCATCTCATTAAACCAAAAGCCAAATGTCAAGGTCTGAAGACTGCTTGGCAGGGTCATTCCGTCCAGCCTCTGACTAAAGTCATTGCTGAATGTCAAGTGTTCAAGGCTTTGTGGGAGGCGGCTCAAAGACTCCAGGGTCGCTGCATCTACTATCCGAGTTACTCCACCGACTGCAAGCTCTCCCTGAGGGACTGGTAAACCTCGGATAGCACGCCATGCAGCATAGAGATCTGACGGAACATAAGTGCAAGAGAGTGTTGCAGCCTTGCCCACAATGCCTTGCTCCTGCAATGATTTGTGCCATATCAGCGGCGAGTCGAGGTGTTGCAGGGTGAGCTGTCCACCTTTCTTCCGAGGAAGTTGCTTCAAAACCATCCGGTACAATTCCAAACCAGTACAGCAGCCAGAGAGCTTCAAAGCGCATCCTTCACCATTTAAGCATTGCACGGAGATGTCGATTAAATTTGGCTCTGCATAACCGCCCACATCATTGGTGGGCATCAGCTGTTTTTGTTCAGGGCCATACACCGGGCTTTGCCAGCTGCACCCTTGTCGAGGTGACACTTGAGTCAAATGACCGCGGTGGAGGTGAGAGACATTTGGGTCTGGAGGGTTGCAGGAGTCAAAAGCCATGATGTTCCAGAGGAAAGAGGGTGAGCATCCATAACAACCAGCAAGTTTGATGTGAAAACTAGGCAACAGGGAACCACTGCCCCAACTGCACCCATTGAATAGGTCAATGCTACAATTCTATGTGATGCTTTC